CATCAGCACTGTGAGATAGCGTCTCGATTTTCAGATTCATTGTTTTAGTAGACTTTTTCGGCGGTGCTTCTGTACTCGGTCTTTCTATAGTATTAAGCTGACGTTTTTGAGTACACACAGGTAGTTGCCGCTTCGTTTCTTTAACAGGGTACACTTCATTACTAAGCTGAGGCAGTGGAATTGTATGGGTTTTGGATGTATTATTTAATTGATTAACAGATGAATCCGGATTTAAAATATGAGTATTTTTAAAATCCCTAGGAGCATTTATTTGGCACAAATAATTTTTAAATGCTTCTAAAATCTCCTGATGGCGTCGTTCACGATTGCGCTCCTTTATTTCGTTAATTTCAATCATAGTGTTACATATCGTGTTTGTTATAGCTGCAATACCTTCCTGGCAATGCATGCACTGCCTGCATTTTGAACTTTCCAAAATATTACCAACTTCTAAATCTTCCTCTTCGTCCTCATTTTTATTCATTATATCTGCAGCGGACAGCAAAATATGGGTTTGATTTTCTATGAAGGAGGTAAATATTGAAAAATAAACATTTAGGTAAACAAAAAATCTTTCCCACCACTTTTGAATGTGTCTTCAGACCCTTGCAATGGTGAATCCATATAGAAGTAATACAATCTTTCAAGTCAAAGGTTACTCCGTATCTTTACGAAGTACAAATGATTATTTAGTTAGTGTAAATATTAAATGTGGGAATAAAATCCTATAAACGCTTTGCGCAAAACTATTGTGATACTATTCTAGTTGAGTGATGTACTGAATTCCCGGAACCCAATACTTGGTACCCAATACTTCAGAAATATTTCGGTATCCAATACTACTTTTTCGGTATACAATACCGATTCTGTACATAATTGCAGCTTTTTGACATAATTTTTAACAGAATATCTGTAAAAACAGTGACACCGACTTTACTTCGACTATGAATAGTTTCACAATTAGTACGTGTAAGACGATGCCTTCCCAAAAGTAGAACAATTTGTACTAAGCAATGCGGAAACCACATATCAAAACACTCTCATGGCCTTCTGGATATTGTCACAACAGTAAACTACCGTTTTATCAGTTCCCACCTTGGTACATCTAAAATTTAAGAAAAATGCTTTGACGGATAAAAGAAGTCTTTCAGACCTACAAAGATAACATCGTCCGATTCATGCAGAAAACAATGTCTCAAATAAGGAAGAGTTTCTCTACATTGTGGCGATGAAAAATGGAAATTTAAACCTCTGTTAGCTCCTTAACTTTCTTTTGATAGGCTAGGCTCCCCTAAACAGCTTTTATTTTTGGTCTACATGCGTTCTAATGGAAGCCTAAACGTTTCGGTACCGAGTGTCGAAAGTATTGGATACTTTTTAAATCGGTAGCGAGTATCGATCAATACTTCAAAGTATCGACTCAGCACATCACTATTCTACTTGTTTACGTAGGTCGGTGTTAAAGCGATGCCAGATAAAACTTTGTAGCTTTGCGTGACATTTATAACTTTGCAGCAATGCGCCAGACGCAAAAGGTATGTCACAATGAACACCAAGAAAACAATTTGGTACTGCAATTTCGCTCGTCAAAATTGCTGTGGATTTTATATATTTTGCTTTAAAAATATCAGCTATGTGATTAAGTTTTATGTTTCTACATGACAACTCGAATTTGGACGAACCAAAATAAATATTAAACCGGCTGATTGTCAAAGCGCGCTAAAAGATGGGAGTTGGCCATCTTTTCGCTTCGCACTGCAGCTTCAACGATCTATGTGGCATGCTCTGTGCATTTTTATACAATTCATCTTATCTGTCAAAGCGAATCCGTCACGTAAAGCGCAGCAAAAGTTTTATGTGGCATCAGCTTTATGCAGAAATTTTGTTTGGCAAACTGCGTGAAATTGTTGTTGCAGCAAACTCGGAGAGAGAGAGTTTGGTGACTCTCACAGCAAACTAAATTTGTTGGGCCAAACACATGAACGAAAGACACATTTTTGGTTCATGGGCCAAACAGATGAAAAATAAGTGTTGCCATATACAAAATTTGCTGGAAAATACAGTATTGCCATACGGATATGGTAGATGTTGCAGTTATACACAAAAAATTT